ATATATTTTCCCTTTTACATTCTCCAGCTATTATATTTTGATTGTAATGAATATTCTGTATAATGTCTGACAAGAAACATTTCCTTAATGTTTGGAACTGAGAGAATATTCTGCTACCCCTATCCTATGGGTGGAAGTATTTTTAAACCTTTTAAAATTCCATAAGGCCAAGATTTAAAAAAATAGAGGAACCTAAATTTAGCTCCGCAAATCTATACTTAGGCCCTAAATTATGCTCTGCAACAGTAAGTTGATGCATCTAAAATGCTTTGCAAATGTAAACTTGATTATTTTGCTGAAATTCATGTAAAAGCTAGAAAGACATAAAGTTTAATTCTTGTCTAATTTATCAAGAATATTTTGAATTCTAATCCTGCTTTCCAGTGTTTGCAATTCTTTCCAATTTAATGTCACCTGGAAACTTAGAAACTTTCCTGGTCCAGTATCTAGTAAAAATGTGCAATAATATCAGACCCAAAACAGACACCTGTGGAACCACACTTTAAACTTTGCCTAGTCACATTTATTCATTTATATTTCTCCGCTTATGTTTATTCAGCCAGTTACATATCTACCTAATGGCGATTAACCAAATTTCTACACTTTATTTACAGAAAGATCATATAGGACTGTCAAAAGTCTTACTCAAATCCACTGTATTCCCCTTATCCATCAAACTATTTACCTTGTCAAAGAAGGAAACCAAATTAGTATGGCTGTTAATGATTGCCCCTTCCTCCTCTGATGCTTATCAATTAATTATTTTATAATTTTTCTCAGTAACTTCTCAAGTGTTGAAGTCAGCCCAAAAGGTCTGTAATAAGAACCCACTGGGTACATCTATATGTGCACTTTAATTTGTATTAGTTTATTTTAGTGTGTATTAAAGTGTGACTGAAAAGCCATGGGTGCCTGTACATGAGCGCAGAGGCTGCTATGATTTGTTGTAATTAAATTAAGTCTGTTGGACAATGGCAACTACTGCACTCCAGCAGTCTCCTGCATCTTGTGTATCAGTGCCCCTGCATTTAAAAATGGTGGCAGGGGTGCTTGTACCCAGAGGTACTAAATTTAATGTGCATTAACTAAAGTGCATTAATATGCCCACTGATTCTTAGTTTTCCCCTTTTGAAACATGGGCACTATGTTATCTCTTCTCCAGTCTTCCTGGATTGGACATATTGAAAACATACAGTAATTAAAGTAATGAAATAAAATATAGTGTTTGAATTGTAAAAATGTATTGACATTTTTCTGCTTTGCCTTTTGATATAGAATTGTCAACAGTGTTTGCCAGGGTGTTTACCTGTGCTTCCTTTATTATCCAATGCCTAATAATAAGCAGTTCTAAGACTTCTGCCTTCAGGCCTTTACATATGCCACTTTACAGATACACATCGCTGTCATTTTTAATATTTAGCAATTGCCCAATGGAAGATGACATATCTCTTCTGCTTAACCCTCCTTCTTCTGCCATACAATTTATAAAGAAGTAAATCAAATGAGAAAAACTTGATAATAAAGATGTGGGTTAGGGAATTTGGCAGGGGTAGAGCGGCTATACTAATTGTCAGCGCTCCTCTGCTGCCAAATTTCCTGACCTGTGGGAGCCCCATGGGCCACATATGATGGCCCATGGGTTAGAGGTTGAGCACCCCTAGTTTAAAATAGGAGTTAGGTAGTCTGCTGATGGAGAGATGCCTTTCAAGTTAGGGGACTGTCTGAAATCCAGAACAGGCTTCCCCCCACAGCTTCTTTGAGGTGGTCATCCTTTTCCAAGAGGGGTTGTAGGTCAGTAGCGATGTATCCAAAGTTTTAAAGCTGGTGATGTAGATGACAACCAAAGGGATTCTGTTGTCTTTGTCTTGGGGTTGGTATATTAGCAGTTCAGAGAAGGGTCTGCATCTATCTCTGTCGATTTGAGTGACTACATGTTTAGGATTGTATTGTAAGTGTAAGAACCCTTGCTCCAGATTCTTAAGGTGTGCATCCTGGTTAGTGGGATCAGAGCAGATGCAGTTGTGACCTAGAGCTTGACTGTAGATGATATATCTAGTGGTGTGCCTAGGATGAGAGCTGTTATGTTGGTGGTAGGTGTAGTGTTCAATTAGTTTATATACAATGTTATGGTGATATGGCCATTGCAAACTTTCACAATGGTGTCCAAGAAATGAATTTGCTGGGTGGAATATTCTGTAGTTAGTCTGATGGAAAGGTGGAAGTTGTTAAAGTCCTGGTAGAAATTCTCTAGAGATCCTTCCCATGCATCCATATGATGAAGATGTCATAGGGGTATGAGAGGGCAGTGGTAGAGGAAACAAGCTTCAAGGTCTGTCATAAATACATTGGCACATTGGGCAACATATGACAATTTGTAGGTATAGGGAGTCCACAGTTGTAAAATAGTTGCAAGTGAGGAAAGTAGAAGAGTATGGTGGAAACAAAGCAGTGTTCTCGTCAGGGAGAGCGATCTATATGGCTTGTAATCTGTTCTCATGAAGAATGTGTTTGTACAGAGATGTAACATCCATAGTAGCTAATACGATATATCTTGTCAAAGGAATGTAGTTTCTTTAGGTGTCTTTTAAATAGCGCACGTAAGAATGGGAGCATAAGCAATTTTGTGGAGTGCATGGCTAGTTAAGTACTTCAACCTGAAGGAAATCCAAATCTGCAGTCAAGACTGTGCTCCAGGGGTCAAAATCTGGTAGTCACTGTTGTACTTCTAATCCAAAACAATATCTTTTTTCATAGTCCTGGTCAGGCTAAGGGTCAGGAGCTGGGGGGAATCTAGGAACACAACAGGATAGACAGGGGCAAAGTATTGCGACATAGGATTGGAGCAGGGCTGGAGCAGGGAAGGAGCAAGGTTGAGCTGCTACTGAGGCACTGAATACTCAGAGCCCAAACTAAGGGTCTGGGCTTAAATACTCAGCACAGCTGGCTGTGCAGCAAATCAGCTTGGTGCTTGCAGATGATGCCGCTCTGGGGTAGGTGGCCCCACTTAAATGGGCAGTCTGGTCTCTAACAGTTGCTAGGTCCCATAGCACATGGGAATAGGATACAGTTATTGTATCTATAAAGCCCCTTTGTGATGGTGCCAATGCCAGAGACAGTGGGGAGTCCTGGGTTGCCAGGTTTGTGGGTCTGGGGTTATAAATAAAAGTTACCTGGCTTGGGCTACCAGGAGATGGAAGCATTAATCTTCTCATGCGTTTCCAGAGATAGCATCTTTAAGCATTTATTTAGTTCCTTTTGGTATTGTGCCATGGAGTCCTGTTAAACTCCGTGTTGGAAATTTGTCTCTTGGCTTCCTATATGTATGCTGTTTTGTCTATGACAAGAGTTGCACTCCCCTTATTAGTCTGATGTACAATAATATCAGCATTGTTTTTAAGAACCTTTCCACCAATGATGGATGCAGTGTTTTGTTACTCTGTGGCAATAGGGCTCAGGCATACAAGGGAGTGAGCACTCTGGCCTTATCCAGCAAAACACTGTATGCAGACTTTTAATTCCATGCATGGGGAAACTCCTATTTGTGTGGGCCGGCTCCCGGTCCCGTCCTCGCCGGGCGCGAGCCGGGCCCGTCTGTGTGCACGCGGGCTGTGGCCGGCAGCCCGGGCACGTGGGGCCGGAGAAAAGCCGTGGGGTGGAGTAATACGCTCGAGCTAGAATCAGTCACGGAGGCGTAATGGTTGATTGAAAAGATTATTTACTTACACTGAAGATGGTCGCGGTGCAGGCTGGACAGTTTCCCAGGTACAGCTCTGCTTCCTTCCTCATTGGAGGACTCTAAAACTCGGTTCCCAGGATCCTCGGAGTGGTTCAGACTCCGTGGTGTCGATAACTGGGTTCTAGGGTAGGGATTCGTCTGGGCTGCGATTGGTGATGGGGAGAGGCTAGAGGCCGTCGGTAAGTGATGCCCCGGAGTTTGCTAGGCTCCGGGGGTTCGGCAATTGGAGCCTCTTTCGCCTTCTTAAGAAAGACGTGCTGGGTTCGAAAGGACCCACAGCACTTAGAGATCCGTCTCTCCGTCTCTCTCCATCTTTCTCGCCAACTTGGGCGGAAACCACCCAAGTCTTTTGTATGGCTAGCAAGCCAATAGCTAGCCGCCACGTGTGCCTAAATTAAGACCGGCCAATAATGTGGCTCAAATCTCAATACCAATGGCGGGAAAACTCCTTTGCAGCGTGCATCACTAAATGCAAAAGTCATGCACAATGCAAAGAAGGCTACAGAACGGCGGGAAACACTTTTCTGCACG